CCTTACACATGCAGTCCCTACCTCCAACCTCCCACAGGATCAGGTGAGAGAGCACTGGGCATCTCCAGTGTGTATATATGAGTGGCTGAGGATGCATATGCAAGGGCCGTAAAGAGGCTTTCACTCACTCTCATCTGGGTTGGGGGCAGCCAAGATGGCACTGTGCTGTTTCTTCACCAGCTCCACGTCCTCTGAGAGCTTTTCAATGCAGCCACGGATTTCCTCCACCTGGACGAAAAACACAGAAGCATGCATCAATTCTCATTCATGTGGCTTGCTTTAAACCTCAGGAATTAGGGTAGGCGGAGGTTTTCAGAGTTGCCACCAGAGTTGTAAATGACCAGTTCCCCTGGGGTTTTTAAGAATCAGAGCCAGGGTTCATACTATTCAGCAATGGCTGGTTCAATAAACATTAGCTCGGGTTCACACAGGAGCCAAAGACAGAAGTAATGAGAGTCATGATAGCTGCGTCTACAAAATACCATAAGATAAAACCGAATAGACTATAGGAAGTCCTTGACTTATGACCACCACTGTGGGACCAGAAGAAATTCCACTGGGAAACAAGGCAGTGGTTAAGTGAGTCATGCCCAATTTTAGACTCTTTTTTGCATCGTTGTTAAGTGAATTACGCGGCTGTTAAGCAAATTCTGCTTTCACCAATGACTTTGCTTTTCAGAAGACAACTAGGAAGGTCATAAATGTCCATTGCCTTCAGGATGCTTAAAGTCTTGCAAGTATATGTTGATTGCCAAATACCTGACTTTTAATCACATGACCATGCGGATGCTGTAAAGGTCTTATGTATGAAGACCGATCATAAGTCACTTTTTTTCAGTGCCCTTGTGACATTGCAGAATTTGGGTTTGGCTAGTCTAGAGGAAAGAAGAATTAGGGGTGACATGATAGCAGTATTCCAATACTTGAGGGGCTGCCACAAAGAGGAGGGGGTCAAATTATTCTCCAAAGGATCTGAAGACAGGACAAAAAGCAATGGATGGGAATTAACCAAGGAGAGAAGCAACCTAAAATTAAGGAGAAATTTCCTAACAGTGAGGACAATTAACCAGTGGAATAGCTTGCCTTCAGAAATTGTGGGCGCTTCATCACTGGAGAATTTAAGAAGAGACTTGACAGCCACTTGCCTGAAATGGTAGGTTCTCCTGCCAGAGCAGGGGGCTAGACTAGAAGACCACCAAGGTCCCTTCCAGCTCTATTCCTATTCCTATTCCTATTCCTATTCCTATTCTATTCTATTTGAATGTTAACTTGAGAATTATGGCATAAAGTAGGGTGTGAATCCAGCCAGAGAGTCATCCAAGACAAGAAGAGACCTTTGAGGATGACTACAGAGTCAGGAAATGAAAAGACTAAGACAGGCCCAGTCCATCCAACTGCAGCTTTCATTGGCATTCTTTATTGAAACCTTCTCAACCCTAGCTTGGTCATATTGGCTAGGAATTTAAAAAATTGTGGTCCTAGTACCTTTAAAACAGCAGCCCCCAACATTTTGGGCACCAGGAACTGGTTCCATAGAGAGAGGTTTCTCTACGGCCCAGAAGGGCCTGGTTTCATGTGCAGCTTGCAGATAGATGGGCTTTGTTTGTTTGCCAAACCTAGTTTCTGGCATACTGTGGATAGGTGTCAGTGCATGGCCCATAGGAGGAGGCAACCCCCGCTTTACAAAGTGTTAGGTTGAGATGATTTATTGTCTCCCCTCCTCTACTTACACTATTGTAAGTTAACTCCCTGCATCCTTCAGGTGGTAGCCCACCAAGAACAAAATTTCATGATCTCCTCCGATAGGTAAGAAAGAACAAAATTGCAGAAAAGTGCTGTTTTGCTGCTCAAAAGCAGTCACACAAGAAACACAACCGGGAGATATTTCTTTTATAGGCAATTATTTAAAATTAGCTGCTCAGAAGTCATTTTTGTCCACAGAGGACATTCCAATGTCCTGACAAAGAAATCACAGTTAGTCCTTGTTTTACAATAGTTCATTAGGTCAGTGTTTTTCAACCTTTTTTGTGCAAAGGCACTCTTTTTTCATGAAAAAAATCACAAGGCACACCACCATTAGAAAATGTTTAAAAAATTTAACTCTGTGCCTATATTGACTATATATAAAGTGTTTTTCCCACGGCACACCTTACACTATGTCACGGCACACTAGTGTGCCNAGTGTGCCGCGGCACAGTGGTTGAAAAACACTGCATTAGGTGACTGTTTGAAGTTACACCAACATGGAAGAAAGTGACTTATGACCATCCCAAAGATGCTTTTTCCAAGAGGCACAGGACTTTCTTGCTTTCCTTTGAAGACATTTCACTTCTCATCCAGGAAGCTTCTTCAGCTCTCTCAGAGAAGTCTTCAAAGAAAAACCAGAAAGTCCAGTTGTCTCTTAAAAAAGCCCCTTTGGGACTGCCATGACCTGGATGACCGAGAATCTCCATAGATCTTTAGCAATGACTTATGACCACTTTTCATACTTATGACTATTGTAACCTCCCCAGGTGCTAGTTCTGCGCATGCCCAAGATGGTGTCCTGTCACGTTTGAGGAGAGCTTCGGGGAGATGATTTTCCTTCTCGGGGTATGCAGGGGGTACTCTATCCCATCGTCGGTTCCAGGTCTAGCTATGGGAACTTCCTGGGACCTCGGGGAATACCCTTGAGCTGCGATTTCCTGCCCTGTAGCTGGTTGTCATGGAGATACTTAGGTGCTCCCATGTTACACCCCTTTTAGGCGGCCTGCACTGGTTGCTGGTTGTCTTCCGGGTGCGATTCAAGGTACTAATTATGACCTTTAAAGTGCTCCATGGCTTAGGCTCAGGGTACTTGCGAGACCACCTACTGCCACCAGTAGCCTCCCATCGTCCAGTACGATCCCACAGAGTTGGCCTCCTCAGGGTGCCATCAGCCAGACCCCCGGGGGGAGACCCTTCTCTATGGGAGCGCCTTCCCTTTGGAATGAGCTGCCCCTAGAGCTTCGCATAATTCCCGACCTCTGGTCTTTCCGGCGTGCCCTAAAAAGTTGGCTTTTCCAGCAAGCCAGCCTGGCCTGAATAAAATAAATTATTAATTTTAATTGTTATTTTTAATTTAATTTCTAAATCTTATTGTAGAGGTCTATTGGGTTTTGGGGATATTCTATTTAATCTCTCTTTTAACTTTTGTAATATGTGTTTTTATATTGTACGCTACCCTGAGTCCTTTGGGAGAAGGGCAGCATATAAGTCCAATAAACCTAAACCCATGGTTACTTGATCAAAATTTGGACACTTGGCAACTGCCATGTATTTATGAGTGTCCTGAGCTCATGTGATTCCCTATTGCGACCTTCCGACAAGCAAAGTCCATGGGGAAGCCAGATTCACTTTACAACCGTGTTATTAATTTAGCAACTGCAATGATTCCCTTAGCCACTGTGGCAAGAAAGGTCATAAAATAGGGCAAAATTCATAACAACTGTTTCGTTTAAGGCTAGAAATGTTGGGCTCAGTTGGGGTTGTGAAGTCGAGGACTGTCTATAGTTGTGGAGGCTGTTCGGATCATTTGTAGAAACACACATAGACAAACTCTTCCTTGGCTTTGTGGAAGAGATGAGAATGAAGGAGTGTGTAGTGCATGCTGGGAATCAGGGGTGGTATTTACTTACTTTCCCTGCCGATTTGCAAATGCGAGCACTCATGCATACACTCTGCACACGGGCTTTGGCTTGAAAACGTGCCTAAATAGGACAGCATAGAGCTGGAGTGGCCCCACTTGTGATTTCCACTAACGGGTCAGCCGAACCGATCCAAACCGGCTGAATGCCACCTCCGGCCCTTTTACTATTTAAGGAGCTCTCCTTAAGCTTAGTGAGCTATCTGCCTTAGAACAGTGGGCAGCAGGACCCTGGGGAAACCAAAAACAGGAAGGCTGAAGCAAGCTGGCTGCTGATGTCATCAAAGGGCGACATCCAGCGGATGGAGGCAGATATACATTTAGAATTGGGATTATTAAAAGTAGATTCTAGGACATGGCTCTTATTCTCAGCGTGATCATAAATACATACTGGGAGAAAAGTTTATTGGGGAAAGATGCTCACTGTGGGTGCCCCAAGGATGTGAGCTCCAGTTCAATGGGGGGCTTTTATCAGGAGCCCTGACAGGTTTTAAAGCCAGTAAAATGGAGGAGGGGGGGGTGGAAGCAGTGTTTTCCATTCTTCCACATCAAGATCAGACTAAGAAGAGAACTTTTCCAAGAGTGGATTATGTTCCTGAGCATCTCTGTGGAAAGATATGAACAAAATATCTGGGTTTTGTTAAGCACAAGATAGCAATATAGCAGTAGACTTATATACCGCTTCATAGGGCTTTCAGCCCTCTCTAAGCGGTTTACAGAGAGTCAGCATATTGCCCCCAACAACTGGGTCCTCATTTGAACCACCTCGGAAGGATGGAAGGCTGAGTCAACCTTGA